TGGGATTGTTAAAATTCAATTAAATTTTAGACCAATCCCGAATTTGTCGTGACGCAACGAAATTGTGGGATTGTTATTTTGAAATTATCTCATACAAGTGACATCATGAGAAATGTTTGGGTTTATTTTTAGGTACATGTAATTACGATTAGTGGATCGACAAGTACATAACAATAAAGTGTACGTAGTTACACTTTTCGCTATGGTATTGATCATCATATTATTGTTATAACGATAACATTGTGGTACATGTATATCACTTCTACATGTAATTGGAAACTCGATTTCACTTGTGAAGATTCTGTATTCTGTATTTTCTTTTCTTTCATATCAATATCAGTTTCTTTTGGAATTAATATCACTATCAGAGTTATTAAACTCGATAGTTTCTTGGTTATTATTAATGACAGAGTAGCTTTGTCATGCGTATACCGTTACTACGTACGCATGACAAAGCTACTCTGTCATTAATAATAACCAAGAAACTATCGAGTTTAATAACTCTGATAGTGATATTAATTCCAAAAGAAACTGATATTGATATGAAAGAAAGAAAATACAGAATACAGAATCTCAATACTCTATAGTAACTTTACCATGTAGTATCTTCGCGAATCCAACTAATCAAAGTACGACTTCAACTATTCAAATGAAAGGGAAAAAATCAATATGCAATAAAAAAAATCAAAGCTAATACCCTAACCACGGCAAAGTATCGGTCACGTGATGATACAACCAATAATAATGCGCAAAATTCTGTGCAACCAATAGGAATGTAGCAAATTTTGATCAACCCGGCAAAACAAGTCCGACACAAGAAAATAAAAGACAAAAAATGCGAAAAATACAAAAAACAGATATCTAAATCTAGCTTGGCACACTATCAAAAAATGTCGGGAGGACAATTTTATATATAGTCTTGATCTCAGCTCTAACCCTAACCCTAATACTTGATATTCTAATCAAGATCGTAATTATATTCAAGAGTTTATGTTTTTAGAATAAAAATATTACACTCCTATACATGATCTTTTTTCGATACTTGAATACTTCATAATCATCTACTTTGAAATAATATGTATCTTGATTTGCATATTTATAATATCTATGCCAACTCAAGTATTTTGGTTACATTTGTCACTGATAAATAAATCACAATTAAAAGCCTTATTAGAAGGGTAATTTCTCACCAATTTACGTGATAGATGTTTTGCATATTCTGGTTTCCTAATAGATCTTTTATATATTTTGCATCTTTTGCACATCCTCTTTGAGTGTTGCATGAAATTTTTGCACCGCTAATATCTCTTCCATTTATCGAAGGTAAAAATAAATGCATCAGACGCGTTATTACATCTATTGTGATTAATGTTTTCATCCCATTTTTTAGGGTTATAGCCGCCAATAATTTTTCCTGTTTGGTTTATCTTCACAAATACTACAATATTATATTGAGCACCGTAGAACTGTCGGTACCTCGTAGCTACAAATCCATCTCGGCTGCCACGATAAAGAAGTTTGAATTTATACTGAAGCACATCACATTTATTAGAACTAATATCATTTGCATTGAACTTGGATGAAATTAACTTTATATGTCTTATATTAATGATATTAGAATCAACGAGACCTGATCGAGTGGTTGTAGTTTGGCAAATTGTTGATTCGAGTTTTTAAGATAATAACCTAAATTTTCCATCTTTGCATCCTTGGGAAGAATTTTCGATAAGGAATTACTTTTTCAAAGTAATCATCACTAGAGATATCACTATATCGAATTAATAGAATGTATTGATGGAGCGTTCTTTCGAGTCTCAAAATTTTGTGGCGTTCATTTTGGTACAGGTTGGTTACCCAAATTTGACAATTGAATTCCAAATCTCAATTTCATCCATTGCTAAGTCATCACGTTTGAGCAATGATACAAGCACTGATTTCTCCAGAGATAAGGAATCTTCAGATTTGAAAATCATGTGAGGTTCTTCACTGATCGTTTTAAGACAAGTTCGTTTAATTTTTTTGAATGATTCGTGAAGATAAATGGTATGCATAATCTTTACAAGATTTTGTTGAATCCAAGTTGACTTTTTTACCATCAGATTATCTTGCGCATGATGAATTAATTCATGAATTTCGAGTTCATCCGCAGCAACAAGTAAGCTCAAGATATTCTCTCCACTTTCTAGATCGAGATCAACCACACCTGTCCTGTATATAAATACCTATGTATTTTTATATACCAATTCATTTAAATTTATTGGCATGATTATTGCAAATATAATAATGATGCACATACTTCAGTATAAGCTCGAATATTTCAGGTGAAATGTTTGGTCTTTTAAAACCATCATTTCACCTTCTTTTCTTGCCCAGCCACTTGATAATGCACGTCGAAAATACGGTGAACGTGCACGAAGCATAAACGAGTGAGCCTGAAACTTTTTATGTCTCTGTTTTCACCGGCGATAATATTTATGTTATAATCGTCCGAGTTTTTCAGCAACTCGGTTAAATCTTTGATAAGAATTTTTGTAAGCTCGAACATGATTTTTAACGAGCAATTAATTTTCGAGAAAGATAAAAAGAAACTGCGAGAGCGGGAGAGTTCTTCTATTGTGTACACTGTAATTATAAACGAATAATAAAAATTTCCCACAATAATTAAAAATGCAAGTGTTTTAACTAATTACGTACATGTACTATCGCTATGGTGCATAACATCTAAAGTCATCAAAAGTTTGTATTTTATAAAATGGATAAATTTCTTTACTAAGAAGTAACTACAAATATAAACGTGACTTTAGATGGTATGCACCATAATACGTACATGTTCATGATACGTACATGTTCGTACGTAATTAGTTAAACACTATCACTATGGTGCATAAAATCTAAAGTCATCAAACGTTTGTATTTTATAAACTGTATAAATTCTTACTAAGAAGTAAATACAAGATTTATTCGTGAATATGTTCAGAAAGGGCCTATTCACAGATTAAATTTTGTATTACTTCTTAGTAAAGAAGTTCATACAGTTTATAAAATACAACGTTTGATGTTATGCACCATAGCTTCGATGTCCTCAGTGATTTGATCTGTTTTCGGACTTCCAAAATATAGATGGCCCTTTAGCACTTGGTTAAGTGCTATTTACAAATGATGAGCGTGTTGTATTGTTACCTTGTTTTCGGGTAATATATTTTATTACCAAGAACTACGCGAAACGAGCAAATGTACCAGCCATGTATTTCTTTCTCTGAAATATATTGACATTGTTAGATCTGTAATCTTGATTTATCGTTATTCATTTTGTCCAAAATTTCCTTGATACAAACAATGTTGTTGCTGTAGCCGCTATCATTGACCAGCCGGCCAAATTTATCTTTTTTCCGAGACCTCTATTAACAACCGCATCAACGACAGCCTTTAGATTTTGCGCATTGTAATCCAGAGTGTATTGACTAGGATCTGTAGGTTTGCCACTATCAAGTGAACACGTTCTTAAATATCGGATTAAAAACATAGTCTGAAACTCAGGATACCATGAATAAAAACCACGGTTGGATTTTTAGATCACCAGATTTCGACAAAGATTGAAACATTATTCACCGTGAAATTTCGAATTCCGTAATCTGCAGAAAAGGCAATAAATAAGAAAGCGAGTATTGATTTCATCCTTTTCAATTAATTGAAGAGTAAGATTTTTCTTCAAATTGATCTTTGAAGCTGTGAAAAACTATTTTTATAGGGTAGATACAGTTCCGGCGGAAAGTAATGGCGGTGAGATTGTTATGTAAATTTTACTATAGCATTTTTATAGAAGCGAAAATCTAATAGGAGCGCATAATGGCAAAACATTTTCTCGATTGCAGGTTTGTAAAATTTTCAAAACTTATTTTCTCAATAACCATCAGGATTTTATAATTTTGGTCTTATTAAATTCGTCTCAATAAGGTGAACATTTGGATATTTATCGAATTATTGCGATTTTTATTTTTTTTTAGTTAAAAAACGTTCTACGTAGTTACAAAATTTTTAGACCGTTAAATTTTATTCAAACTTGCATTGACACGGAAAGAGATCATATCAGGTACTGATATTTTAGGGGGGCATAATGCCCTACTCAAAGGTACTATCCAAGTAATATTTTTTTAATTTTATTATACAAATTGAATGAAATAATAAAAAAACTGACCGCCATTACTTTCCGCCAGAACTGAAACAAACAAACGTATAGTAATATTTAAAATGTGTGACATGTTACGCCACCGATAATGTCAAATTACCAGCCTGACCTGACTGTCCCAATAGCAATTACGCCCGTTCGATGTGTTTCATGTGATTTTCAACACATCATCGTCCTTTTATCGCCACATATATTCAGGTGTAAGTTTCACTGTGGCAGCTATGCTGTCTTCGTTACATGGTTTTTGACCTGTATCAATATGAATGTAACGTTCTCAACATCCAACGTACCATTGATTAAAATCGGAATTATTAAACCACCGCCTTCTACTCTTTACAAGCAACTCGAGTAAATCAACGATATTCCCGCAAAATGGTTGAAGCGAACCCATCCTTTGCTAAAACAGTATCTTTGATAACTTTCTAGATATCCTCAAAAGCCTCGTCCACAACCAGCGATTTGAGGTAGTCATAAATCCTCATTGGCTTCACAAACTTGACGCTCAAGCAGATGAGCGAGCGGATGCATGTTATCCCACACAATTAGTAGAAACAATTGCGCTATAGTCTCCCCACTATATCCACGTAGAACAGAGCCTCTCCTAATTCCCTGGATCCAATTGTTAGGGATGTCGCTAATCCTAACATCCTCACATCATCAAATGCATATAATACGAAACAAAAGTGGTTGCCAACTCGGATTGAGGAGAAATGTCGAGGTGAATGTGTGAACCAAGGATGGAGATAGCCGTATTGAAATCTAGACGTTTTGATTCCACGAACCCAAATTTCTCCATTGCTATCTTACCAACCGGTCAGGATAAAACTACGAAATAGCCTTGAAAGTTGAAATACGAGAACATGAAGCTGAGGAATTAAAAAATGCCAAAGATGTTAATGTCAAAAATTAGGCGATTTGTATTTTTGAATTTTCAGTAAAAAAAAAGATTTTTGTGACAAAAGGAAAAAACTATCGTCAATTAGTAACCCGCAAAAAATTAGGTCACTGGCCGTCGACAAATGAGCATACCATAAAAGTCTGTCAAATCAGAAAAATAGTCATACTTTGCGGTTTCATTCAAGGTGCCCGGCTCCAAATCAACCTCACGGATGTGAATGTCGAACGTATCGAGGAGATAACACGGGGATACAACTTAAGATTTCTATGCTGAACTTGTAAAGAAGGATCATGCTTAACTTGTGAAACAAAATTTAAAAGCTTCCCCCATCGTGTCTGTTATGACTGAAAATACACGTTAATGTTTATTTTGCACCTCAGTAAGCGTACACAAAGTAATAGTGATCCGAAGCCAGTAATAATAATCTATCGAATTTTCTCCAGATAAAGCAAGAACCGTGCCTCATCGAATGTGAAGATCAATTTTAGTTTGCCTGGAATCTGATCAAGTTGTTCCCTGCGCTTCTTAATAAAGTTATTATAGTGCTTCCTGAGTTCGTCTTTTATTATCAGCTGCACATCATCTTCATTAATTTACAGATAAACTAAGGTACTGTTTTGCTTTTCAGACAATTGGTGAAACGTCCAATACTGTTCATGTTTCGTTTGAGTTTCGCTTAACGTTTGCAAGCAGGCGCACAAGCTCACTGTTCACCGAAGACTAGGATTTATGGTGGTTGTTTTTCTAAAGCATCACCAGCATAGGCAGAATGCACCCCCAGCGGAACTCTCGCAGAAGCAGGAGTACACCACAAAAACGTCATTTTAAATTTTCTTCAGTAGCAGTGATTTTCCCATACCGCTCGTTTGCATCAAAGGTACAAAGCATTGATCACCGTCGTACATATCAGCTAGCAGATGGATGCACTACTGCCACAGAGGTGAATGCTTTTATTTTTTATGATTTTTTAGATTCACTGTCCCGGGTAAAGGTGCATTACCACTAAAGTGGATGGATGCACTACCGCAAAGGTAGAGGTGGATACACTACCACAGAGATGATTGCTTATTTTTTTTAGATTCACTGCCTCAAGTAAAGGAGTGTTACCACGAAAGTGAATACACTATTACCACGGAGGTGATCGCTTTTTATTATTTTTTAGGATTTTTAGATTCACTGTCCCGGGTAAAGGTGCATTACCACTAAAGTGGATGGATGCACTACCGCAAAGGTAGAGGTGGATACACTACCACAGAGGTGATTGCCCGAGTAAAGGAGTGTTACCACGAAAGTGGATACACTACCACCACGGAGGTGATTGCTTTTTATTTTTTTTTATGATTTCTTAGATCACTGTCCCAGGTAAAGGTGTATTACCACGAAGGTGATTTCTTATTTGTTTTTATATACTATTTGGAAAAGAAGAAGAAACTTCGAAGAAAAGAAAGCTAAAGAAACAACTCGCAAAAAATCTCTCACTGAGTGTAAATAGTACTAGCAAGAAAGAAGTGTGGATATACTACCACAAAGGTAATTACTTAGAAGTCTTACAAGCGAGAAAAGTCAAAGGAAAGAATAACGGGACAAAGTCAGCAGCAAAAAAAAACAACTCGCGAATAGCGGTAGGGGATAATCATATGTAGAGAATAAATAACGACATAATCAACCAATCAGAATTAAACTTGTCCAAGCCACGCTTTATTGTTACATGTACTACATGTATTACGCATCGGTGATTTGCATTTTGTACAAGAGTGGTGATTAGCGATAGCCAATCATCTTGTTACAATTAATTTTTATCCCACAATTTTTGTCAAGTGAAACTCAAGTAATCCAAAA